CCCCAAAACCCCAAAACCCCAAAACCCCAAAGCTAGTAAAATATGTTGAAATTATTTTTTTATTTTCAAATAGGTTATTATAACTGGGATAAAAAGTTGGCTTGGTAGTACCCAACTGGCTCTTTATATCTGACAGATTTGTGCAAGTCTAAAGTTATTACGTCTTCATACTTACTTGGATTCGATAACCTAGGATTCACTAATGAAAATTTTTTAGTAATCTTATCATTACTGTTTTGAACAAACTGATCTGAGAAATCATGATTTAGACTTATTGAATGCGGATTTTCAGCAATATGCTCCTGAGAAGAGACTTTTTGTAATGGCTTTGTCTGCAAATGATCTCGTTCAATAACAGCCTTTGAACTACTTCTCTTATCACTGTTCCGAGGTGATTGATGCATCGAGAGATTCATAGAATGATTAGTCATTAAGCTATGATTTATCTCGTTTCTAGCTTCTCTTAAGACCTCTCCTACATTAGATTTGTTATTTATATATCCCATTATAATACCTTCTGTCTAATCTTAAGTTTCCTAATTTTCTGGGCATATAAGTGCTATCAGACATCTTTGGGATGGACAGCATATTTTTCCTTCTTTCCTTACTTCCTGCTAAAGGATCACCTTTATTTGGAAACTTCAATGTATAGGTATCTATTTTCTAGTTTCCTGGAACCAAACTCATCAAAGGTATTATTTATACTTGGCATTAGTAATGGGCTTATTTCTGATTAAAGATTCGATGTCTGAATTTAGAAGGCCTTGACCCTGGGATATCATTTGTCGTCATTATGTCCTTAGGATTTTGTACATTTACTTGCTTCTTAACAGCTCCTGGGATATCATCAGTTTTTAAGGACCGAGCAACAGTCCTGTTCAGAGACTTGTTAAATGAAGAGAGATCTACCGAATGCTTCTTAAGTGATAGCCTGTTGATAGCTGAGTGGTCAAATGACTGCTTCATTAAAACACTATCGTTATTTCTTCTTACAGCTAAAACTTTGGTAGTTATCTTTTGGTAAAACTATTTCTGTGTTCAAAGCTGCCTTATTGTTCCTAGCACGGATAAGCTTGGCCAATTTCCTTTGATTGAATGAAGGAATTGAAAACTTTTTCTGCTCAAATCTCCTGTTATTCTCTCTAATAGTTTGATTTATTGACTCCATTGCGAATATAAATTTATTTTTGAAAGACAAAGGGGTTTTGGGGTTTTGGGGTTTTGGGGTTTTGGGG